ACATAGCGGAGTGCATCAGAGTAGCGTCAAAATGTATGTTCTAGTGTTTCCACTACTTTATGTCATTTTGTATATCCCGATCGATATTGTTCACCACGAAAGAAACCTCTTACAGTATTGAAGTACAATCTCGACAATTTTCCAACTTCAAACACAAATTTTTAATTTTAGCTCTTCATACTTTGCAGCATAAAAAAGAGAAGATAGAAATTTTATACCCTTTGAAAAACTCCACCAGCTGCCTATGTCTAAGACTCTTCATAACCAGGGGCGATTAGGACAGAAATGTTTTCTTTTATCGATTTTACGAAAACTCATCGTTTCTAAATTGCAATTTTTATATAAATATGAAAACTTTTATAACTCAGCCAAAATCAAACATTTTGAGATCGGGGTGGTTTATCTTAAAGCAGAATAAGTTTTCCATTACATCCCAACAGAGGAAGCTCAATAGCTCTATTACTGCTACTGTGTCAGGGAGAATTAGCCAGATTTCTCTTTTCCTGGTGAATTTTAATCAGGGCTGTGGCGATAGGAGGGAGTGTAAGGGGGTATATGCCACCTCTGTTTTTTGGATTTCTTACTTTCTCCTGCGGATAACCTTTCTCTCGAAACAGTTTGGAGTATTAAAACCGTTTTTACCTTTCTCCCCTAATCTTTTAGCTTGTACCCAAAAATTTACACACTTCCTGCTTTTTTCTCGCGCCATGGTCCTAATTTTAATAAACAGGCCTTGTGTGCTAGAAAGCATGTTAAAAGTGAAACAATGATATGTTTCGAAACACTAGAACATACATTTTGACGCTACTCTGATGCACTCCGCTATGTTCAAAATAGTCTTTTTTCGTTGTGTTTGAGGTTAGAAAATTGTCAAGATTTCAACTTCACAGTATTTTCTCTATATTATTTTATTTTTGCGTTATACAAGAAAGCGTTTAGTATGTTTTTTGTAGAGAATGAAATTGCGCAGTTTTTAAAAAAATGTTGCGATCTAAACAAGGGAAACTGAAAAGTTGTTTAGAAAATATAGAGACCGCGATTCTTTGTGCCCCACCCGTTACTTGATAAAATGCAGAAATAAAAAAAAAAATGCCATTTTGATTCAATAAATATATGTCGGATGGATGTTTTTGACCTATGTTTGTCAGCTATAAACCCAACGCAATGCTGTAGTTTAGTATAAATGTTGTTTTATTCAACAGAAAAAGCTAATGTTGCCATTTATTTACAAAAACAACAACTTTTAATTTTCTTCTTCTTCTGCTGTGCGCCGAATAAAATCATATCGATCTTTGGAACCTAAAAACAAATATAGATGACAAAAGTTCTTCTTTAAATTACTTTAAAGTAATGTATTGTATATACATGCGTCCGTTCCGGGATGATCAAATTTTTGTAGACGATTATTTAATGTGTCCACAACGTACAAATATCCTGATGAGTCAAATGCCATACCATGAGGACTATTCAATTGATCACTGCCATTACCAGTAGTACCTTAAATATGCACGTATTTTATACCAATACTAACAAAACAGATTCTGTCTCTATCTTACCTCCAGCTATTGTCACACCATGACTATTTTCTGTATATCTTTGTACTCGATGATTTCCTGTTTCCAAGACATATACTGATAAATCACTGTCAACAATCACTTGTACCGGCTGTTTCAATTCAGCGGCGAACGTTGTTCTCTTTCCATTGTTTAAATCAAACTTTTCTACTCTGTTATTTCCTGTGTCCGCTACGTATAAATTCTCCTCATAGTCCACCCAAATTCCTTCTGGATGATTAAGTTGAACGGCTATAAATTTGAAGTCGATATAATTTGGCGAGGCAAATTTCAGAATTTGACCGTTTGCCCAATCAGACACATAAAGATTTTTCTCGCTATCCACAAAAAAATTAAGTTTATTTGTCTCATTCTTCAGTTGCACTAATGTTGTAATTGTTCTATTTTCATTGAATCGGCGTATTCTTCCCCGACTGTCAGAATAGTATAATATACTTTCATGATCAATGAAAATATTTTTAACTTCATCAGTAATGGGAACAAGTATGATTGGGTCACTGCCGTGATTGAAGAATTTTTGTAAACCATATTTATTATCAATTGTGTAAATATCACCCGTATTTAAATCAAGAGTAACCGACGAAGGATGTAATAAATGAGTACTATTTGCTAATGTAAAAGCATTTGGAGACCATTTAAAACAATCTTGCGTCTGTTGACATACTATAAACACAATGGGAGACATAAATTAAAGAGTAAATGTACTTTTGATCAGCAAATATGTTTAGATACAAAGGATCACTAAATTTTCCAGTATAATATCACATTTTTATTTCTCAACAAAGTATAATGTACAACACAAGCATATTCACTGAAATATTAACCAAATGAACAATATTTTCATTGTTTTATTTATATCTACCCATGCAGTTGAAAAAAGTCGTTCGAGGAGTGCGGCGAGTACTCGAAAATAGGCCCTCGCCGAGGGCTCGACACCTCGGAAAATGGCACTTCGGACCCTTGATATAAGCTTTCGTGGGGCAGGGTTTCCAATAGAAATCTAAAACAAAATGTACTTGTACACTTTGCTTATGTGGGCAAAGTGTACGTTTACACTTTGTTTTTGCTACCAAATGTACAAAGTGTACTGAAACCAATTTTTTCAATCCGAAACACAAAAAATAGTTCTGATTCTTTTCATGTGTAATTTAAATTAATATTTGTTAAACAAATAAGTGATAAATAGGCGTACTATTTC